TTGAAATAACATCGAATGCAAATAATACAGCAAATAATTATAAACTTATGAATTATAAATGGCTGGTTTCATTTAAATTATTTTTTTTTTTTTTGCTATTATTAATACTATTTTTATCATGCAAGACATTTAAATTTCTAATGTGTAAAATCTAACTAAAATATCTATCTAAATTATTTATATCTATAGATGAAGATATTTATTCAAAATGTTTCATTTAAAGTCAAGCCAATTACAATTAACAATTTTTATTTCGATATTTATCTTAAAATTTAGAAAATTTAGAAATAATCAATCTTTTTTATATTTTTAAAAAAATAATAAGAATAAAATACGTATTTGTATTAGAATGAAAGGAAATTATTTTTTAACTTACTATTAATTAAATTGTTCATAAATACGATCTTCCTTTTTTTTTAACAAAACACGATTTTGCTCGTTTATGATATACATAAATTCTTTAAATTTATTTTTTAGAAAATAACAATTATTTTAAAAAATTTTCGCTTTCACACTCACGCATCCATCACTGGAATTTTCACTTTTTCATTTTTTTATTATTTTCTCTCTGATAAACTTTGGATTATTTGCAACGAAATTTAACGAATCAATTATGAAATGAAAATGAAATGATTTTTAATCGCAAATAAAACAGGAAAAATTAATTTTTCCAAAGATTGAGTTCGAAGATTTATATTGAAGAAAAAAATCACTCAAGTTTGACGAAAATGTTTGCAGAAAATGGCAAGCCGTTCGTTAGGTAACTAGTCGGGACTAGTCGCCTTGGATCACGATGGCTCAACTGAATGAAACATTCGACCGTCCACGCTCTTATAAATTGCTCACTTCGATTAAGTCCCTTTCTCAATGTTCGTCGTGGACGTACTGGATAATATTATATATGATCTATGATCTTTAACTGGATTACCTTCAACGATACCGGAAGCCTAGTTTGAACGAAAATCAGCGGGATTTGCGGACACCAATTTCAAGGAAATAATTTCAAAGGAACAAACTTGGATGCATTTAAAATAATATTATTTGAAATTTAATCGAAAGATGTTGGATCAAGAAATATCTAACTTTGATCAAAACTCCAAATTATAAATGAATAAAAATATTCAGAATCGTCGATATTTTTGTAAAACATAATAACAATTTATAAATACAACAACATAATACAACATAATATAAATTAAAAAAATTTACGAAAAAAATTTACAAAAAAGTTTTTAAAATTTATATCACTATTATATGATAAAAACTTGTTATAAAAAATTTTGGTTAAATTAATGTAGAGAAAACGTAGATAATTATTAAATAAATAATAATGAGTTTACATGGTAAGTTTATTATTATTGGAAAATTTTTAACTTAATATTTTTCAAAAATAATTTAAATAAATTTAAATTCAAGTGAAAAAAAAAAATTAAATAGAATTTGCATTTATTTTATATATATATATATAGAAAGATTAGAAATTAATTATAGAAATTATAAAAATTAATAAATTGATAAAATTGTCCCATTTTAAACAACTTTTTCTGTACATATAATATAATACTAATATTCTATATCTAATAAATATAATATATAAATAGAATGCGAACACAATATAATAAAAATAGTCGAATATTATGGTTATGCTTTCATGGTTTTACATATATTTATATGTTATTATAGATACGCTTATATAGATATGCTAATAAAATAATAGGTTTTTACCAATATATTAATGGATCAGTGATTATATTATCATTAGTAATTATTTTTATGTATTTGGAATTTAACAATGTATGCAATTTAATAAAATTTAATATGTAATTTTAATAAATTTATTAATTTCAAATAGAAATAGTAGATATAGAAACATATAAATTTTAAAAAAATTTATAAAATGACACAACATTAATTGATTTGACAAAAAGATATTCAGAAAATATCTACATAAAGTCGATTATAATTTCAATTTAATTACAACATAAACAAATCATTAAATATATTTTAGTTTGAAATAATATTAAATCTTTTTTGTAATTTCTATATTTATTGAATTAATAATATATTCTATATATGAATTAATGTTATATTTGTTAAAGATAATCTTTTTTTTCTAATTTCTATATTTATTGTATTTTAATAGATATAAATATTAATAAAAGAATATTGATTTTAATTTTATCTATAACTTTCGTTAAATTTATAAATTAATTATCAAAATTAATATTAAAAACTTATAATAAATTCCTTATTTTTTCGAAAATGCGAGAATTTGTATATTTTTAATTTGAATTTTTATAAGTTATACCACATATATTAAAACTGACAATTAATTTTTTTATTAACAATTTATACTAATTCATTTATTGTTAAATATTTATTAATTTTACAAAATTGAAAAAAAGTACCAAAATATTTTTATAATTTTTTTTATATTGATTTAAAAAAGAACATCAAATTTTATATTAGTATTAATTTTAAATACTCATATTTAAAATATAGAGATAATCGGAATGAGATGTTTATGACTTATAAAAGATAACATATTTTTAGACAAAAATACTTTTATGTAGTGTATGAATCATGTATGCATCAATTGCACCATTTTATTATCTTTAAAATGTATTAAAATACATAGATTAAAAATTATATTAAAATTAGTTTAATATTTATTTATAAATTTAAATTATTTTCTCTAGTATTAGTGGTGAAAAGAAAAGATTAGTTAATATTTAAATTAATTTTGAAATGTATATTTGATAATGATAAAAAATTGTTTTTTTAAGATTGTAATTTTTTTTTTTACAAATTCATTTTTTACAATACACGATATAGTTTATCGAGATAAGTTAACCTTAAAATAATTTTGAAAATGAGTTTCATTATTCAAATATTCAAAATCGATCATTAAATGCTTCTCGAAGCTCTCGTATAGTGTAGATCAATGAATGAAAACATTGATATTTATCACTTATTTGTATTTTTATAATAAATCTCTTCTTTTAAAATTTGAATATTATAATTGATAATTATTTGATAAGTATTTTAAAATATATATTAATTATTATACATATAAATACATATATTACAGTACTTGAAGATCTGCTATAATCAAAAATTATTTATAAAGAGGATCAAGAAAAGATTATGAATCGTTTGGTTATAGCATTTTCGCCATATAATTAACACGCGCACATATATTATATAATAAATAAATTTTATGTCACAGTAACGCTTTGTTCGTTAACGATCTGCTAACAATTTTCTAGTTCAATAGAGTTCTATATTATAGATGCCAATGACTCCATTGTGCGAATTATAGGGTTGAGGCCACGCGACGCTGTATTAACGAAAAAAATGCGAAACATGTAAGCGACAAAGAGCGCGAGTCATCGACCGTTGTCGATAAACAGTGAACGTAGAAATGTCAAGTGCAAATGAGGAAAACAGAGTAAGTGAAAGAGTAAGTGAAAAAAAGAATGATGAGAAATGTTGAATAAGATAGATATAAATCGTGAAAAATTGGTATAGAAAGAGATAGATTGCAAATTTTGAAGGCAAACAGAACGAATACGATTTTATAATCGAACAATTTCTTTTAATTAAAACAATTTTTATTATTTCAACAATTTCTGTTCAATATAATGTTATAATAGCATTTTGAATATTTGATAAAATAAGGTGAAATATTACTCTTCTCGTCATTACTTTTACATCAACAAACAAATGATGATCTTCATTTCAAAATCACTTAAAGATAGTACATTAATTGTTGAATTAATTTTAACATCGCTGGCTATAATATCGTGTTTCGCTGAAAAATAATTTTAATTTCAAAAAAGAAAAAATATGATAATTTTGTGTCAAAAAAATTGTTAAAATGATTTCATTGAATTTTATTTTTCATCATCTAATATACGTATCGAAATTATTTAAATCTTACTTAAGTATTTGCTTTTACTCTTTTAATACTAGTGAAAATAATATATATATATATATATTAAATATTAATATTTAATGCACAATTAAATATTATATAGCAAGATATTACTTGCTAAAAATATAAAAAAATGTTATATAACATGTCATTCTTCTCATTATATAACAAGTTATATATTATTTTTTAGAAATCGATAAAGAACAAAGAAAACATTGCGTCTCGATATGATAATATACCAAAGAAGCATTAAATATGATAATTGTTCATTATATAATAATAATAATATCATTGTAATGTTAAGGGTTGTTTTATATTTTGTTTTTACTGATCCAAAGAACAATTTTCTCTCCTATAATACAATTATCGCTCAGTAGAAATTAATTAACGTTGACATACTTCAAGCTCATTATAATGTTTGAGATAGTTTTGATTGGTTCACTCATTATATATTTTATATAAGCGTGATGTATTTATAAAACAATTGATAATTGATATGCTGACTCATTCTGTGATAAATGCATATATATTCAATGTAATAACAAAAGAATTTTATATACATATAGAAAAAAATCGGTCAAAATTTCATTTTTCTAATCAATATTATCTATTTTATCGATTATATATCTTTATTATTAAATTTTATTATTATATATTAAATTATATATAAAATTTTGCTTTTTATATTTTTAATAATATTTATATAATTTTATATAATTTATAACGATATATGTATCTTGTATAATATATTTATAACAAATTATATAATATGAATCTGTTTCCTTAACGATTTTTGACAATGGTTCTTTTCTTTTCTATAATAGATATGTATGTGTATATATATATATATATAATAGTCGATGATTAGACTGTACGTATGAAGAAGCAGCAAATGTTATCGACTGTTGATATCGGTTACATAACAGGAATGTCACTATTTTTCAACCAAAAATATGTATTATTAGCAATGATATATAATTTGCTAAAATATATATATATATAAAGAATTATACATATAATATATTTCTTATTACATAAGAAGATTGGAAAGAGTTATAATATTGTGTTATATAACATGTCAGTGGATTGAAACAGAAACCAGATTATGAAACATTTGTTATTGAACTTCAGTCTGTGTGAAACTCTCGAAGAAAAGACATTACTTTCTATTCTATTCATTTCGTTGTATATTGTTACTCTCTTTTTAAATAATGGAGTGGAACAAAGAAATGACATTTCGATTAATCGAATTATACCGTGAAAAACGTATATTATGGGATCCTATGCATGCGGAATATAAAAACAGAAGTAAGAAACACAGTGCGTGGATTGAATTAAGTAAAGAAATGAAAATACAGACAAATGAAGCGGAAAAAAAGGTACGAATACTTGTTGGACAATTTCAACGAGAAATAAAAAAGGGAAAATATGAAGGTGAAATGGACCCTTCTTATAAATCAAAATGGATTTTTTTCAAACCTTTTCTATTTCTGAAGGATAAGACTCATGTAACAGAAAAAATATGTAATTCAATAGAAGAAAATAATTCATTAAAAGAATCTTCTAAACAAATATCCATTGAATCACAGGAATCTAATTCTAATATTAGTCTTTTGATAGAGGTAAGCAAAACTCACTTAATAGTAACTTTAATATTTAATAAACTTATATAATTTATATAATAAATTAAATACTTAATTCTAATTTTTATTTTATAATGAAAATTTATAATATGAAACGAAAAAAAAAATAATAAATGAAATGAATAAAAGTAATATTAATAAAAATATAATGGAAGAAATAAAATTAATTGTTAATTTATTTTTCTATTCTGATTCAATAATTTATTTTCACAATTTATTTTCACAAATTTATTACGAATTTGAAATTGAAATATGATCTATCAAATTTTTTCTTAAATATTATTAGAAATATTTTAAAATATTATTATCATTAAAAATACTTTCTAAAGTATTCAAAATATGATAAATATTTTATGATAAATAATTTTATGAAATGTTGTATTATAAGAAAGATTAAGAAAACATTAATAAAGTTATAATGAACTAATAATAATATTCAGTTTTACGAATATTAATTTTTTACAAGATATTTAATAAAATTTTGATATTGTTTGTAAATATATAGAGGTATTTATTAAATAAATATAAAATTATGATACATAATTTAACAAAAGACTGGTTAGTGATAATTTTTTAAATATATTATTTGTTTTATAATTTATAATATATTAAATTTGTCTACACATCAAGATAACAAATATGTGAGTTTATCAAAAATTTATTTTCTTACGAATTTGAACAGGATCTTTTTTTAAGATTTCCCCAATTGTATACAAATATATGTATAACAAGAAAGCTAATATGTTATTATTAAGCATGAAATTCATATCGTTATCATTGTTATTTGAATTATTTAATTTTGATCATTCAAAGGTCTTTGTTATATTTTACTTTTTGATTTTGCAAATCCTTCAAAGTGCTCAAATTCATTATATATATCAAATTATCAATATCAAATTATATAATATATATATAAAAAAATACTTCAAATAAATATCGAATAGTTTCATAATTTGACAATTTAATTAATTTTAAATTGTGGAGAGGATATATGAAGTATAACTTTGTTTTTTTTTTTTTAATTAATTAAATCTCATATTTTTTATTGCGTTATGTACCTGACATTTTTTAAAAAAGTATATTAATCTTTATGATATAATTAAATAATTTAAATATTTTGATTTGAATTAAATAAGTAAATATTTTGATTTGAATGTCGCAGTGTTCTTCGCTTGAATTAATTCGCCGAATAGTTTAAGCTTCCGTGAATATAATATTGAATGAATACATTTGTAAACAGTAAGAATAACATATGAATGGAGATCAAAGATCAAACATCGTCCAATTCTTGGTTCTTCTTTAATTATTTTTACGAATAACTGAAAAATTACTTAGTAAACTGTTTGCTAATAATAGAGAATGAAAATACGCCAGAATTTACTTTACTTCGAATGATATATGATTTTGAAACTATACGCGTTTGTACTTGATGAATAATTTATTTTTAATTAACAATATTTTATAAAAATATATCGAATATTAAGAATCGAATAAATATTTTTACATTCTATTCTTATATCTTACGTATTTATATTAACACACTTGTTTACAATCGATATTAAATATTAAATAGAAAAATATTAATTATAATAGAATTAATTATAAAAATATTAAATAGAAATTTATATCGATATGACGTAAAGTGACAATGATTCATAACATTCAAATTAAAATATTTTTTGAATTAATATTTTTATGTCATATTCTTCATATTTTTTTATAGAGCACCAATAGTATAATAAGAAAATACACGATTCAATTTAAAAAAACAAAGTCTTTCATACATATCTTTTATTCTCACAAAAAAATTAATTATTGCGTGTTACAAATTGTCTAATTTTTTATAATTTTTTCTTAGCTATGTACTATCGATTTGTTGTATCTTCTCACATTTATTCATATTTCGAAAAATTTAATATAACGAATATGATATCAAACGCAATTTGAATGATAGATGAAATTTTTATTTTTACATTTGAATAATATTTCATTATATGTTTGCTCGAATAATAAATTCTGAATATTTGATAGGGGATGATAAAAAAAAGTGTTTTGTATTGTGTGTTGTTAAAGTATCATAAGTTAAAAAAAATGATATTAATGAAATTCTTCAAGATAGAACTATCATTGGATAAATTTAAATAATTTTTAAATAATTGAATAAATTTTATGATTTATACCATCAGTATATTCGATACTCATTGCAATTAAAAGATGTCTTGCAATTAAAATGGCAACACAACAAATCTCATTCAAATTCAATCATTCTCTTTCAATATTACCTGTATCTCTTCAAAAATGTGATTAAATTATTAATTTTTGATTTAATTCATTATTTTATTTATTATTTTTATTGATTTGATTTTTTTTAGAATGATAACTATTCAAATTTAGAAATGAAAAGACAGACAAAATCAAACTCAAGTGGTATCAAAAGGAAAGCAGATACTATAAGTGAAGAATCACACATATATTCAACTGAATTGCCAAATGAAATAAGAACACGAGATGAATTTGACGTTTTCGGGGAAATTGTTGCGCACAGTCTGAGAAAATTGAAAAACAGGACAATTCAAAGCCATGTAAAATTCGATGTATATAATATTCTTTATCGTGCTGAAATAGAAAATCAACAATAATATTGCACACTATCATCGTTTTCTAAAGATTAGATAAAAAATTTTATATGTAATGTAATTTTTTAAAAATATATTTTTAAATATAATATATAAATTTATATCAAATCAGTATAACTGATTTAAATTTAAAATAATAAACATAATATGTACATAATTAGATTAAAATAAAAAACTAAAAAAAACATATTTTTTCAGATACACACTTTTATCTCGTCTTTTAAAGAATAAATTGTAAGATATAGGATTATAAGATGTAGATAGATTGTTAAAGAATTAATTTGTTTTATTAATTTTTATTTGATAACTTGCTAATAAAATAAGGATTTTCACGTGACACTAGTAAATTATAACTTTCATTCTAATCACATAAAAAAAATAGTACATAATTTTTAAATATTTAGAAGAATATATATATATATATATATAAATAGAAGATGAAATTTTGAATGACTTTTTTCCTGCACACGCTATAAAAAATATCATAGATTTTAAAATATTTAAAAAAAATTATTATTATTATATAGAATTTTGCCTTTTAATTACCGCTTATTAATTACCTATCACAGAAGTTAGCGTCCAAAATATAGTATTATCGTCAGAGACGAGCAATGTTATTCCTTCTATCATTAAAAATGGCTTAATTACTTGATAAATTTCTGTCAAAATACGCAACATTCATTACTTATTGTATGTATTGTATATATACATACATTAGTTATTGCTAGATTAGGCAGAAATATATCACATGTCAAGACGTGACTTTCAGACAAAGTCAAGCATCGTGACACGTTATGCTTTTTTTTTTTGCAATTTTGATTACACGTAACATTTATAAGCTTCTCTAGCTTATAGTTATCTATAAGCTTGGATATTCCGTATATATAAATAATTCGAATTCAAATAAATAAAATACAAAATATAAAATAAATATAAATATAATAATAAAATATAAAACCGAAGTTACAATAATTAAATTTACAATAATAATAATAACTTAGAATTATACTTAATATTTATCATTGCTTAAGCTCGTACTTATATAAACGATTCAAAAATAGTATATCTATAAATGCATATATATATATAGATAGAATTCAATGTATAGGATCGAAATTTTTTTGGAAGTAATGTAAAAACTAAAATCGAATATATATATATAAAGAAAAAAGATAATAGGCTTTATAATATATTTCAAAGTCATTAAAATCAATTAGAAATTAATCGGCAAGTTTGCTCAAGGATCTCGAGATATCTTTGTTAAATCGTCATCGAATACGTACCAATCAATACAAATTTTAAATAATTGAAATAAAGTACGATTTTATTCGACCATCAAAAATAAGTGACGAGATGCCAAGTTTATTCCTTTAACCTTGACCTGATTCAAATAACTGGCTAACAAGGCTGACGATTCAACTTGACCGATTACATTAAGGTTACTTCGATTCGTGGTCAACTATATAAACAATCGCTTTCTATAAGAAATGATTTAGAACGTCGATTATTTTATTATATATATAGTATAGAAATATATTATATAATGAAAGTGTATCAAAATTGAATAATTATGGTTTATATTTTGTATTAGAATATGTAATGGAATATTATGGAATATTATGGAACAAACAAATGTATCACTTAATATATATTATGAGAATTTTTTGAAGGATTTTGTTTTGTACAATATTTATTTATGTAAATTCTTTTTTTGTCAACTTTTTATTAAAAGATATTAAATTTTTCCGAAATAAAAGTAAGAGAAATATAAGAAAATACAAGTAAAGGAAATATCCATTCGCGCTTTGATCCCATTCTCTCGCAACCACGAAATTTAATATCGTGTCAATGCTAGTTAGTTGATCAGTTAATGCAAGTACACCGTTATATGAGCCTTTCTTTCTACCACCATTATTAAGGTAAGACGTTTGTATGTAATTTGATTTATATTATTAACAATACTACATTTTAATGCTCAATGTTGTTTAATGTATTATATGTGGACATACTTTACAAGTATTACACAAAAAAATATTAAAGAATTTAATAATTCTCTATAATTGCGTATAATATTCTTAAATTGAACAGAGAATGATTATTCAAAAAATTTTATTTCGTAAACGTTTAATATAAACCAGAAAGATATTGCGAACTTTTCAACTTGTCAACAATATCTCTCATATACTCGCTATATGATATTTTAACTTTCGGTAAACTACAAAAGAGTCATTTAACACCGTAACTTGAACTCAAAGAAATATTCCGTATTTTACCAAGAAATAATGCGCACATTCTATAATTAATATTTTTGCGGGATATCTTTAAAGAATCGATTCTAGAAATCAAAATAAACATGAAAATTATATTAACACAAGAATTATATATACAAGAAAATTATTGGATTGATTTAATATAAGAATATTCATTTATTTATTAAGTTAAAATTAAATTTTACATAAATAAAAAACAAAGCAAAACAAAAATAGAATGATCTATTTCAATCATTTTATTATCTCGCTTCATATAATGCAAAATCAAATTACTCATAAATAAATAATCCTCAAACTATATTTTTATAAACTATTATATTGTATTTTAACCTCTAAAATAACTCCAATGATATAACTTCAATGATATACATATGTATGTTAGAAATTTTCTTTTTTGCTATTCTGTTCTTATTAATGATAACTGCCGAGCGGTCATTTATAGTCTTTTTACCAAATGATAATCTTCCCAACTCTGTAATCTAAGATTATCGAATAAAAACAGTATGTTATCATTAAAAATTTAATTCCTTTGAATTTTCACAAAAAGAAAATATACGATATCATGTTATCTCCTCTATTCTTGTTAATAATTATATTATATAATTAAATAGAAGCATATCATGTGAATAAATTTCTAGTAATAGCAAGCATCGCATAATCACGTGACATACTTCTGCCTAATCTAGCAGTACTAGTAGGAATAATATGATTATACGTTATATATTCTTCGAAGAAGAATTTTTAGTGGTGAAGAGGATAATGTTTCTATCCAGCAATCCTATCGTCATCAGATCTTTTAAGAATAATATACTTATCTTTTAAGAAAGTAATATAACCTTGGATTGTTTGCTTATTTCAAACTTTCTAAATAATATGTACACATACAACAGGTACTCAACATTTGATGTCTGAATATCACTTCGAATCAATGATCAAGCATCATCTGAAGGACATTTCTATCAAAATGTCATTTGTAAAAATTCTATTCAATTGTTGTCATAAATTAATCAGATAGTATATATGAATTATCTGCTTTTAGATTAAAAATATTCCGTATTTATTGATAAATAAAAGTTTTCTAAAAGAAATGCAAACTTGAATTATTATTTTCAATAGAATTGACACAATCAATACAAATATAACAATATAAGATCATATAGCATTGAATGAAAATATACTTACTTTGCTCATGTGAGTCATTTCTAGCATGTATAATAAATACAATTTATATATTTACATACTTATGGATTAATAATATATTTTTTAAAATTATATAAAAGTAGAAATAAATAAAAAATATAATTTTTCACAATTTATATGTAACACGATGTTAACGTGAAGTCAACTCGAAAATATTAAATCTGCACGCAGATTAATTCTTTGAACACGGTGTTGAAAATTAATCTGAGCTTTATCTTCTAAAGTTTCTACAATTTCAAAAGCATTTAACTACCATCTCTATATAATCTCTATTCTTTACATATCCTCTATACATTTGTGACTTAATATTTATATATTTATAATTCAACAGTCCAAATCTTTACAATGCGCAATACAATAAAATTTTATGAGAATTTTATAAAGATACTTACTACTAAGAAATTTTAATATCTTACTTTTAAATTGCCATTTGAAAATCTTTTATTTTAATTTTTCGTCCAGAAATGATTGTAAAAGTTCTCTTTTTGATTTCGTATAAAGAACTTGTTTGTATATCTCTTCGGTTCTTTTAAAAATTATGCTTAGCTATCAATATAATCATTGAATAAAATTATTTCTTTTGAAATTATATCTTCGTTTGTTTATATGAATCCATTAAGGGAACAGTTCATACATATATATTATAGGAATTTAATAGGAACTTAATTTTCTTTAATAATTATAATTTTAAAAATTTTTTTAATTTTTAATATCTCATTTATATTAGAATATATTAGAAATAATATCAAAAAATATTATATAATTATCAATAATTTTGCCTTTTCCTTTTTTCTTCTATTAAAAATTTATTAGCAATTCTATTGAAGCAATTCTGAAATTAATCAATTGCATGCATCAATTGTGAGTATGAATCATATAACGTGACTACTTTTAATAAAAAAAAAATTACTTGTTATAAAAAAATGTTTTATAGAAAAATTGTATAATGAAGAAATGATCATTAACTTAATTATTCTTTTTTGTAAATGCAGTTTTTTGTAAATTATTATATGGGATCATATAATAATTAATTTTATTTTTTTTAATGAAATAATATATTTTATAAGATGTTATATACAATTTGTATAAATATTAAATATTGTGTTGAAAATGAATATTTTTTTTACTTTGTTATTAATTTCATTAGAATTATATATTATATTTTATATAATCATGTTGCATTATTTCGTATTATAACAAAATCCCCATATTTTAAATACTAATTCAACATAAATAATAATAATAAGTAATAAGTAATAAATTACATTAAATACAATTTTGTATATATTTATCATATAATTTAAAAAATAAAATTATTTTTTTATTATATGTAAAGTATATTGAACAAAAGTAAAAATGTTAAGTATGTATGTTAAATATTAATGTATTTATTATATTTTAGTAACACTTATGCAGTTTCATTTTATACAATTGATTCAATATACTCATTCATAACTTACAACATTATTTAAGATATAAGGAAAGAAATAATTCTGTTTTTAATAATAAAATTATGATTTATGAAGGTTGAATATTATGGGCATCATGCTGATGAAACGTCCTCCTTTTAAAGATTATTGAAGATAATATGATTCAATGGTAGGTTAATACCTTGACACACTTTTAAGCTTTAACAGTTTCAAAGGTTATAAATATTGTTTTAGAATAATAATATATTCGTAAATAAAAAATAATTTAAATAAAAAATCAAATAAGCAATATCAAACTTCTTAGTATCAGCATAAAATGACCATGATTTATCAGAGGCCTTAATTGTTCTAACCATTATAATTAATATTACATACAATTATTATAAACTTTTAATATTATTCATTTCAATATTATTGATTTCATTTATTTCAATATTATTCTTATGAAATTGTATCTAATGTTTTTTTAAATTTTGTATAAATAACATTGATTTTATCATATAAATAATTCATCAAATAAATGTAAATATATCTTAATTATTTATAATTATATTTATATTATATTTATATTAGAATTGCAGTTTATTATATATATTAAATTAAATTAATTGTTTCGTTATTAAAGATCTTTTAAAAATGTAAAGATGTATAAATAAATACGATAAAAAATAATCATTAAAATATATAAAAGAATAATCATTTGGCTAATTGTTTGGCCACTATTGTAAAGTGAATATAGAGGCTTATGTTTAAACTAGGAAGAAACGCTGAGTATTGATTGAATATACAACACTCCATTCAACATATATAATAACAACCTATCTCTTTTCAAAAACACAATACAGATATGTTTATATAACAATAATTAATAACAATAAATATATCAACAATTTGAGATCTCTTTTTTCTTTTGTTTTCAATTGTAAGTTTTGACAATTCAAAAATATTTGATTTGTAAATATGTTCTTATTATACTCATTGCATACAGGAATTTTCATTTGAAGTCTGCGTTTGAAATTGAAGCAAAATCACTAAGTACGTAATTATTGTACTGATCATCTAACAAGAGAAGTTACAAATACTAAATAAATAGTGTATACATATTATATGTGATATTAGGATGGAACGAAACAGAGGCAAAATTCCTATTTATGATTTCTAATATAATTCTAAATAAAAGAAGTTTTGTTTTTTATAATACTTAAATTGTTAAAATATGAATTTGATCAATAAAATTTTTTAGGCTGCCACAATTCATTTAAAAATTATTATTTTCATTTTTGATTTTATAAATTTTTCTTCCATAATTTATTATTTTTAATTGAAAAAAGAAATCTTTCTTATATATATGTATAATATACAATGTATATATAATATATATAATATATACAATATAATGTTTATATATAATAATGAAAAAATAATATAACAATAATGATGAAATTTAAATTAAATTTGAAATAAGAAAAGAACATTATATTATAAGTTCTTATCTATTTTTAATTTATATATTCATTTTAAATTATCAAATTTAAAGTATAAGATTAAAAGTATAAAGTATAAAATTAAAGTATAAGATAAAATATAACAAAAATAATATTATGATCAATAATATAATAAAAATGAGAATTAAAAATTCACAAAATATAAAAGAAAAATAAAAAATTAAAATTTCAATGTTATTTTGAAGTAACTAATTTTACAAAAATATATAGTCTGTTTATTAAATCTAGAAGATTAGAAATAAGTTTTTTTCATCATTAAAATATAATCATCAATTTTAATTCCTTCGTTCCACCTTGAGATATACTCATTATCACTTTCAAATAATATTCAAATTAATTAACCAATTTTTACTCACCGATTGAAAGAACTCATTGTCTAATGTAAAGTATCCATTTATTGAAAATATTATTTTCTGATGTAACAATTGAAATGAAAATTGTTTGAGCTGGAACACGTTTTAATATAAGACAACGAAAAAATTTAAATGATTGATTTTACAAATACCTCTTTTTTTACTTTTCGATCGCTCACGCAATTTAATAATATGTGTACAATGCATCCAGTTTTTCCAATCTGTGTAAAAAGTATATTAAGTTTCGCAAAATAATTAATATTCGGAAAAGGAAAAAAATTCAGATATATTTACCTCGTTTATCATTTTAGTTATTTTCGATATTAATAAACCGAAAGGAAATAACAACAATATTATCCAAAGTATAGTATTTATAATGAGTAAAAAATCCACATTTGTATTCTTAATAAAAAGTACTAAGATGAAATAAGTGATATATAATAATGTGAAAAAGATAAAACAGAGTCCAATAAAAGTAGGAAAAGCATAAAATTGTGAAATTTCTCTACAAATGTTGTAAAGATGATCGTGTATATTTCGAATTTGAAGAAGAAGATGAATCCTTGAACAATTCATGAATATACGTCGATTCTGATACAATATGTTAGAATTGAAATCATTCGTTTTATTTTGATAAAAATTTTGCATAATGCAGTTTAATTTTACAAAAATTTCATTTATTAAAGTAATCACGAAAAAATATTGAATGAAAAGCAAGCCTGCAAAAGTCGTAGGTATAAGATTTCCTAATAATGTAATTGGTTCAGGTTTGAAATATATGATTTCAGTAATTAAAAGAACGACAAATAAAACTAATTTAAATAAACAAATGAAGAATAGAACATTGAAAATATATTTTTGATTCAGTGGTTGTTTTAGACGATGTAATATGATCTCAATACGAATCAAATAATTTCCAATCTTTGTGATAACTGATTGAAATATACAATAAGACAATAAAGTCGAGATTATCATTGAAGTGCCTAGTAATCCTTGGAAAGTTTCTATTATTATTGTTACATTTGTTCTATAAGTATATTCTGCATAAAGTATAAGTTGTATCAAGAAGAAATTTGATGCAATTACTAAAAAGCTGCCAAACAAGTTGTACAATATTCCTAGTTTAGAGCCAACAAAAATTACAACTTTTTTTGAAGACCATATCTTCGAATTTCTTCGATTATTTAAAGAAAATGTGGCAAGACCGAAGAATTTAAAGAAAAATAAGAATAACAAAATTGCTCTATGCTTATTTCGAGACCAATATAATTTATTTAAGTTAACTACCATTTTTTTAAGTTTTTTAAGTTTTAAGAGAAGATTGTTATTAATAATATATGTATATTCTCGTTTATATTTAACAAAAAATGTGTCAACAATACACTTTGTCTTCTTTTTCTTCTTTGTATATAAATATTAAACGTCACTTTCAGTATGTTCTTAATTCATTATTTTTATTTTTTCAAAAAATTATGTGTATTGTGATATTTCTAATAACACAATACAACATAAATGCAAGAAGTTTACTACTGCAGTTTATTTTATATCACTGATCTAAAAAACAATATTAAATATTAAATTATATTCCAAGCATGTGCATTACATTATATATATGTAATAAAATTGATTTCACATTTATTACAGATATTATGATATATGCTTCGAATAAAAGCTTATTTATGATAAAAATCTTATCTATTATCATAAATTTATAATAAACTAAAAAATAGATGCAAACATATTTGTAATGACATCTAAAAAAAAATATAAATATATCGTAATGTAATAAAAAGAAAATTATTTTGTTATTAAAAAACAATATCTAATATTATAAACAAACATAATACTACAATGTAACTTCTCTTATTTTTTTCTTATTGAATATTCATGATTTTCTTTTTAAAAACTTTTGACATTTTATTAGAAATATTGATTAAAAATATGAATATGTTTAATTTTTTTTAAATTAAAATTATTCTAAAAAAAAAAGAAAAAATTAAAATTAAATTTAAGAAATTTTTTATTACAAAATCTTTTAATAATAAAAACAAAAAACTCAAAACACTGATAATATTTTACTTGACAATCATGCTTTGAAAGTACTATAACGATGCCTTTGATATCTTTTATAATGAAGAATTAAGAAACAGAAATTTCTATAATTTTAATCATTGAAAATTTATGCATAACAATTATTACGAAATTAAATTTTACATAAATAATATCTTATGATCAAATGTGTATCACATGTGTGCTCTTCAAAATTCATCGTAAAAATAAGATCTAAATAAATAAAGAACTATTTTCTCTTATTTTATCTTTTGTATTTCATTTTTGTTTTGCTTTCAACATTCTATATCTTACTTCGATGCTAAAGTATTAAATAACATTGACCAATTCGTAGAAATACACTTCTTTAGATAAGGATCATATTTTCAAAACATTTGCTAGAACTAGCTCTATTATATATTTATATATATTTATTTATTGAATTGTGTTGAAGTTAAAACAGTAAATATTTATATAAATATAATATATATATAACATATACATATGTAAAATATATATATAAAATATACATAAGAATAAAATATATAAAATATATATAAAGAATATATAGAAAATATGGTTTATTAAATAAAATTGTTCATTTTTATGAATAAAAGTTATTTGTCGTTCTGGATTATATAATTTTGAGATATTTAAAGATAAAATATAAAAAGTTAGTAAAAAATATAAAAGTTATAAAAATATTTTTTTAATTAGTGTTATTTCTTAATACTAAATATACTAGATGTGAAAAATAATATATGACATATAATATGTGATATAATATTGAGATAATTGTTTAAGTTACCTTTGTTTTGCTTATTCAGGAGTGGATCTATGTTTGTAGACGACTAAAATATTTATTTAATTTTATAATTGAAATATAATATATTATCTTTAATAAAATAATTATAAAATAATATCTAAATTTTGTAAGCATGAAAGAATGCTTGAAAGAAACTTTCTGCGCAGGATTTGCGCGCAGTCTCCATCATAGTCCTTGCCTATGCCAATCAACTGAAAAAACACAGTTGGTGTCGCTTCGGTATCGTTCGAACGCATTTTGTATTTAAGATGTGAAAGAATGTATGTCGTTGAATTGAGAGAACAATTTCAGTTGACGTAATTCTTTTACTAAATTATTGATAGATTATGTAAAAATAATAGTTTAGTTATACTATTAAATAAAAAATCGTTTTTTAATCGATATACATATATACATAAATAATTATCTTATTTTTTCTTCATTTATCAAGTGAAAGTGCTATGTGAAAAATAAAATAAAAATTGGGCTATGTTAAGAAGTTGATTTTTGAATTTTGTTGAAGAAATGAATATATAATATTGAATCATCATCGATTATTCAAGGTAAATATATATTTTTTAAATTTATATATAATATATATGTATATAAATTTCACACATTTTTTTATTGTAAGAAGCTACGTAGAATTACATTCCTGTTTCGCCTCAAACCATCGAATCTACATTTTGTATATAATTTTCAATATTGCGTTTCTGTTTTTTAATATCTATGATTGTAAATTTCCCAACAGCATGTATTTTTGCTAATTTCATTGCATTTTCACCACTTTTAAGATTTTTAATTATTTCGTATTTTTCAATACAAGTTTTCCTTTTCGTCGTTAAAATTATATATTTTCATTTACTTGCATTGTGATATCGTTCTCTGCTTTAGAATTAATTTGATTACATTTAACCGAACACAAAAAACTATTTATTACATCTAAATACATTGTATTTACGTTGTAATCTGAGTATGTTGGTATGTAAATATCACTACGAAACGTGCGGATAATAGAAGATACGGATAATAGAAAAAAAAGTTCAAAAAATATATTTTTTGCTTATATGAATTAAAAAAAAAATTAATACAATAAAATGATGGCATATGTATAAAAAAAGTACATTAATTTAAATATATAAAATAATAAATATTAAAATATAAATTTTTTTTTTATAATAAATTTTTCGCACTTTTCTGTGAATTTTCATTCTCAAATCTATTTTTAATTTTATTCTTTTCAATTGAATGGACTTTCTTCATACTTCCATAATAATAATTTTTTCGTAAATAAATATTCTATAAATATTTTCTGAATGAAATTTATTTTTTAATCTTTTTCAACATTTAATACTATTGAAAATATTTGTTTCAATATTTAATATTATTGATAATAATATTTAATATTAATATTATTGTATTTATATTACATTGAAAATTATTTTTAAATTTAATTTTAATACAATTCTATAAAAATGAAAATATTTTTATTGTTTGCGATTTTTATTAGATTATACATACAGTATAGTCTATACAGTCGATAAGATAGACTAATATATATATATATATATATCTTATTTTAGTAACAGTTTCTAGATAATAGATAGCGTTAGTAAACAGAATATTAAAACACTTAACAAAGAATATAAACAATATTGTGAAAAAACAGTGCTATTTTTGAGAAAAATATTTAGAGGAATCTTGACATTGTATATTTCTTAGAACACTTTAGCTTAAAAGTGTAAATATAATCTTGAAACTTTAGACGCCATTTTCCAGCCATACTTTTATGCTATACTTACTCGATGATAAATAGCATATTATGTTCGAAGAAATTTATAACAAACATTCGTAGATCGGTTTTTCTGAAAATAATGGATTCTTTGTGTAACGGTTCTTGTGTAATTTTTCTCTCAGCTTAAGGAATTGAGGAATTTTCTTTAGTTTGGAGAATTGATAAATAAATTGTTGATTTGCGATGTCATTGCCGCAATCGTTCATAATAAATGTGAGAATTCAGCGTTTTTATAAATTAGAAAAAAGTTAGAACACTAAGAATTTCATTAACCTTTATTAATCGTTAAAAGAATTTCATGATTTCTTGAATATACATTTTTAATCCTTAAACAAAAGAACTTTGTTAGAATTTGAATTTATAAAGTTCAGAATTTGAGAACTCTTTGTACTTGATATTTAGTGAACTCATACGTAGATTTGCATTTAATTTATACGAACTTTATAAAGAACTTTATAAAGAATCAATTTTATTAATTTTATATTATTATTGTTTTATTACTTAATAACATAGCTCTACAAACGGTTTGGAATTAACATAAGATATTGTTAAAACTATACAATTCATGTTAAATCCACACATTCCATCGTGAACTTTATTTATAATGTTTACTTTACTCTATTACCTATAAATGAAACAATAATATTATATATTTTTTTGTTCATAAAATATAATTAGAATAAAAACTTACTGTAATTTTGAGATAAAAATGACATATTGTAAAACATGAAAGAAAAACCATTTATACATTTTTTTTAAACATTTTTTAATTCTACTTTATATTATAACAATTATCAAAAAATTAAAAATTAGTCATTTGTATAAGAAGTACAATGTTATGTCAAATATTTTTCAATATCTATAGTTATTTCTATAACATTTTCTTTTAAATTAATTTTAATTGATTGCAAAATATATCTTCTCTTTTTTTTATTTTGTTTAATGTGCAATTTTAATTTTTAATATATTTTCTTTTATAATATATTTTATTTGTATATCTTTGATTTACAATTATAGTTTTCTGATGTTTATTATAACGAAAAATTATCAATTTTCATATTTTCATTTTGCTTTTTTTTTAAAATTTCATTTTTCTAAATGATATTATCTTGAAATTAATATAAGAATATAAAACTTTGCTCATTTAAACGAAAAGAGATTAAAAACAATTTCATATATATTTTAATTTAGGGAATTTTCGAATATTGTAAATGGATTTTTAGTATAGATCATGTTTCATAGATGGCAGTACTATATTTATTTTATCTTAATAAAAGATATATATATATGATATATTAATTTAATTTAGCTTTATTTCAATTTTTTTTCTTATATGTGTCCAATATGTGTAATGATTTCATTTTTTATTTAATTTCAATCACGGACATGTTTAATATTGAATTTATCGCGATATCGATATTATAACAATCTGTCTTCATTATTATAATATCATGATATTGTGATATTAATATGATATTATAATAATATAATATTATTATGATAATATTTTTCTTTGATCATAATATTCTCTAATTATTTTGCGTAAAATTTTATTAAAAGTAATTCATTCAAAAACATCTATTAATATATTATTAATAATTACATATATTGATCATTAAAATATCGATAACGGATGAAAAT